CCCAAGACTGGGCCAGGCGTGGTGTCTCACGCCCGTAATCCCAGAACTTTGGGAGGCCGAGGCGGGCGGATCCCGAAGTCAGGAGATCAAGACCATCCTGGCTAACACGGTGAAACCCCGTCTCTACAAAAAATACAAAAAATTAGCCGGGTGTCGTGGCGGGCGCCTGCAGTCCCAGCTACTTGGGAGGCTGAGGCAGGAGACTGGCCTGAACCCGGGAGGCGGAGCTTGCAGTGAGCCAAGATTGCGTCACTGCACTCCAGCCTGGGCAACAGAGTGAGACTCCATCTCAAAACAAAAAAAAAAAAGAAAAGAAAAGAAAAGAAAAAAAAGACCCAAGACTAGATCAGAGAGGTTCTTAGAAGTGAGTTCTGAACCACTCCTACATTTGGAGGTTAAGAAATGAGGAAGAATCAACATCAGAGGTGGAGAAGGAGCTTAAACCAAGAGAGTGTGGGTCCAAAAAGCCAACAAAACTATTTCCAAGGAGGGCAAGGTCAACAGTGTCAAGTCACCAACAGATGATACATCAAGCAGGATGGAGATTAAGAATTGGACATCAGATCTGGCAATGTGGAGGTTACCCTGATCTTATGAGAGTGGACTACAGAGGTGATAAAGAAAGCCTGCTCACAATGGATTCAAAGAGAAGATAAGGAGAAGAATCGGAGACAAGAGTTATGGACAACTCTTTCAAGGACTTATAGCAAAAGGAGAGTGAAAAATAAGAGATAAAAAGATTTTGCCACATATATGGATATTGCTTTAAATTATACAGTAGATAGGAGAAAAGCTAATCATGCAAGGATGGGTGGATCCTTAAAACTGAAACTTTATAAGGTGTACCTGCTGTGATTTCACTGGAATAAAACAATTAACATTTCTCTGGGGAAGCAGATTTACTCATGTTGTTTTTCCCTCCTCATACACATGCATATCAAAAAGCTATTATGTATCCATACTTTCTAAATAAAAATATTTTTAATGGAACTATAATAGAACTATTGAAAAGTAAATGGTTGAAACTGTGTCTTTGCCATTCCTTGTGTCCTTCTCTTCTGCAATTGCTCCCTTTAAACATTGTGACCATTCTTGTTGCCCTAAGTTTCAGTTTTTAAAAAAATTCATCTTTAAGATTAGTTACAGTGTGTTCCTCCTCCCATAAAATTTTTATTTACTGAAATATTTTAAAATAAAATGACATGAAAAATTTCTTTCAAAATATTTAGTTGGGTGAAGGGGATGAATTGGGTACTGGTAGGAGCAGAGATGACAGAAGTTGGCTTTGAGTTGATGGTTAGTGAAGCTGGGTGATGAGTATATAGCGGTCCCTTGTACCATTCTCTCTAATTCTGTATGCATTTGAAAATTTCCATTATACCATGTTAAAAACTTTAAAAAATCATAGGGTTAATACCATGTTTAACCAAAAAGAATCCATTAAGTAGTGAGATTTCAGATAATTTGGTAACAAGAGAATAAGTTATTTTGGGGCACAGGAATTTTTCTGGAATTTTCCAAACCATATCAGCTACTTTGCTGTCAGCTTAGAGGGCAAACATGTATGATTTTTAATTTATCAGAAAGTGTCTCCATTGCTTCAAGATGAATTAATTTGGGTGCTTATTATGCAAATAATTTAGAAGGATGAATTTTTTGTTAATTATACCTTGGTTCTTTTAAATATCCAATCACTTTAGGTAAGCATAAAGAATTCTGGGAACACTTATGCTATGCAACGTTTTGAGGGGAAGTAATGCTACGGTCACAGAATAATGTTAATCTAGTTGGTTGTTGTTGAAAAGAATAAATAATTGATAGTTGAATTAACAGAAGGTGAAATTTCATTATAATAATAGTTACCACTTTTTAAAAAGAAACTGTGATATCTGAAATTTGTTACACTTATATTGCTATATAAAAATGTAGGTAATGAAAGTTCTTTATCTTTTAAAATAAGTAAATGTGGAAACAATGTTGCTACATTAACTCTTCAAATATTAATCACTAGATATACTTTATGTTTTCTGGTTATTTATTAACCATTTTATAGTGCTGTTATTTCTCTAGCTATGGGTAATTTCCACCAGAGATAGTTAAAAAACAAACTGCAATAATTTTTTCTACATCAGAAATCTTTGGATTTGATTAATAACATCCCCCACTGCTCACTATATATTTGTTATTAAAAATAAACTATGTGTTCGAGACCTATAAATTCTGCTTTAAAAATTAAACTCAAAGTTATGCTGGTCTTATGCAGCTTCTGGTCTCTTTTGTATGGCTTTATTGCCCTCAACATTTTCCTGGTGTAAACTACTGAGCAAGGGAACAAGATTTCCTTTGTAACTGATACCTAAATTTCTATTCTGCTTTAAGCATCTAATTTGCACTGTAAAGACATATAATTTGAGACTTGTAGCTATATCACAAAAGTACAGCAGTTTATGCTGATCTCTAATTTTCTGAGTTATACTGGCTATAATTTACATTTTTTGCATGTTTTTAACTGCCATGCAAATCAGTATACATCAGAAACCTTTGTATATTGACAGAGACTGGGAAAAGGATGCCTTGTTCTGATTTCAGATAAGCATTCCCTTTTCAGGTCTGCAGGTGCAAGGAGGCCCATTCATAATATTTCCTTCAAATCAGTTTTAGACGCTGGGTAGAAATACAATGCTTTTTCACAAGATCCTGACTAATGTTTATAAGCACAGTTAATGTTTTTTTTTTTAATGTACTATAAATAGTAAATTTTAGAGGCAAGTGAGACTTTTTTCTTTGCCTATACATTGGGAACAAAATATACTGTTATAACACAAATTTTGGTCATTTTACTAGTGTGTGTGTGTTTACTAAATCTAGAAAAGGACTTTATTACTTATTGAAACAGGATGAAATTATGCTTAGTGGAAAATTTGCTGCAACAAATGCATGCTTCTTCCATTTAAGAGATAACTGATAATGAATGTTACTTTTTCCTTTGCCTTTTCACTATTTTGAAATCAACAAACAAGCCAAAAAACAACCACAAGATCAAGAGATTTACTCTAATTTCTCCATTTCAAATAACTGAGCAAATCTCCCTGAAACAAATATTAGAAAACTATATATGCAACAATTTACTAAAGACAGCTGGATGTTTCCAAATGTTTTTATATATATATATATAGAGAGAGAGCCTACTTATAAGGTTATGACTTGGCTGTTTTAATTAGCTTCAGGCAAAAACTTGGCGCATCAAAGTATAGGAGTAAATTTTAACCTACAAAACAATTACAACTATTAATTCAACTCTCCTTGAGCCCAAGAGGTCAGAGAAAGGATCTAATATAATTTAAGGACTTGGTGACCAAACAGTGAAAAAGTGAAATTAAAAAAAAAAAAAAAAGAAAGTATGACAATAGTCACTGCATTGGCAAAAATAAATGTTGGGTCTATATTGAAAACCATTAAGAACTCATTCTAAACTCATGATTCGTCCTATTACTTAGTTGTATAATTTTCCAACAATCCAATCCGGTATACCACCTTACATTTGATTTTGTCTCATAAATCAAAAGTCCTGAAACACCTTCTCATGTACTATTTGACTTGAACTTCCCTTTGTGATTTAGAGAAGGCAGGTATTATTAACCTCGTTTTACAGATGAGGACAATGAATTTCATAAAGAGTTAACCTCTCCACATCAAGGTAGCTCTGACATAAATGGTTTGCCTGGACAGAAAGCTGTCAATCCTGGTCCAGAGTTCTTTCTGCTTCTCTGTATCAGAGATGGATCTCTGTGAGGGATCAATTAGATAGTATTTTTTTTAAGCTGAAAGGATGGTGACTTAAAGCATGAATATCCCTCCAGTGTGGGTGATTCATTCAGATTGAGCACTAATGATAGTAGAAACTCGTATGCTGTCCTTTTCTGGACTCAAAAATTGAAGACTACTCCCATTATAACCAACTTACCTACAGCCTCGAGTTAAAGGCAAGTTAGTCGTTAGTGGACCCGAATGTTAGAAAGATGGGGAGAATATTCTGTACAGACGATGCCCTTAAGAATGGACCAGGGCCCCTAAATGACTTCTGTAAACAGGACACCCTGTCTTCCAAAATTCCTTTCTGTTAGGGCTTCCTCAGCACCTAGGAGTAACACACAGTGCCTCCTCTGATAATTAGTCCTTGCTGTCGCTCCAGGGCAGAAACGCTTGACACCTGGCCTAGAGGCCATCTGTGCTAGAGGACGCTGCCACGCACCCGCCCTCTTGAAGTTCTCTGATGACCGCAACTTACCTGGCCGGGATGCTCTGGCTGGGCAGCTCTTCGTGCCAGCCCAAGACCTTTGAGGAAAAGAAGAAAACAAAACAAAACAAAACAACTTACCACCTTGGCCCAGTCCAAGAACAAGTGAAAGTACCCAGGCTGCCCAGAGGAACGAGGCGGGACCTCGCCGGTCGTTTTGCAGGCAGACAAATGCAGCGGTAAAAAAAGCCAGGGCCGAGCCGCACATAATGCAAAACAGCCCGCCCCGCGCCCGCCGCCTGGCTGCTTTCCGGACGCGCGCTCGCGCCTCCCGGGCGCACCTCGGGGCCCGCGGGCCGAGTGTCGCTAGGACGTTTTCCGCAGGCCTAGCAGGCTGACCCCGCGGCTCGGAGCAAGCGGTGCAGGTAAGCGGGCCCGGGCACCGCTCGGCATCTCAGGGCCCCTGCGGCCCTCCCGGCTTGGCACGGTGGGTCCCGCGGTCTCCGCGAGAAGCACCTCCTTCGACGGCCAAGGGCCCCGGCGGCGATTGGAGAGAGGGCTCTGCAAGGGCTCCGCAGCCTGGTCCGGGACAAAGAAAAGAGCTTTTGTTTCTCTCCAGCCGGTGGGGCTTCTGCTGCATAAATCAGCTTAGCGAAGAGCCAAACACAATCAAACCCAAACAAAGCCCGAAGCTGGGGGGGAAACCACCCTAATGTACATTCACTGGGTGATGCTGGATCTGTGGGAGGGGACGCCGGCGAGGTCGAGGGGAAAAAAGTCGATGGCGCATCAATCAGCGCAGTTTCTTCCACAGGTGGGCAGGGAGGCCAACTTCACTAGCTGCAGCTTTGCAGCCTTGCCTGCGGAGCAGCGGGCAAAGACAAGTCCGCAGCGTCCTGGCTGGCGAGGGAGGAAGCTCGGGATGCCAGCAACAGGGGGAGGCGACTCTGGGAGCTCCCTAGAAGCACCCGCCGACTCCCGCAGGCACAGAGCGAGGCATCGCCGCTCCCTGCCTGGCGGGGAGTGGGGCCCGCGGCTGCGAGCGCAGGAGGGGAGGTTCCGCTGGGTGCCGGAGCCCGGCTACGCGGGGCGGGGGCTGCGTGCCCTTGTCCTTTCGGCCCCAGTGCGCGGCTCAGGCGTCCCGCAGTCCAGAGCCCGAGTTGCTGGCGCGCTCTGGGGTGCACACGGCGAGGATGCAAGAGAGGCGAGGGCGGCGATGGGCGGGAGAGGGGTGGTCCTGCTCTGGCCCCCCGGGGGGCTTTAGACCTGCGGGTAGCCCGGTGCACTCAGGGCAGAGAGTTGCTAGGAAACCTCCCCACGCTACCGGAGCGCCTCGGCTCGGCTGCCCGCAGGCGCGGCTGCAGCCCGGGCAGGAGCTGCAGTAACAGCTCGGAGCAGCGTGGGCGGGACATTGGTGAGGCATGAAGTCACCACGGCCCACACTCGCTCTTTGTTTTGCTCACTCCAGCTCTTTTTTTTCCCCCTTGGCTCTGATAGTTGCCATTCCCATCGTTCACAAGAACTCCTGAAGCGTAGCCGCGCAACAGGAATGGCACGCCTCGTTCCCTTCTCCCTCCTCCCCCGAATCCTTGCACCCCAACGCTCGCGGGGGTAGTGGGAGACTCGCTCAGCGCCAGCAGCAGCTGCGAGCAAACCCCAATCTCTCACCCCCGCGCTGCTCGCCGCTTTGTTCGGAGATACTCACTGCCCCGCAGCTGCTGCATACAAAGTGGAGTCAAGGGACCGCCCCTGCCCCCAACGCCCTCTACTCAGCACTTTGCTTGCAGTTAGGAGCTCGTCCTCTGCCCCACCACAAGGCTGCCCCGGTCTCCCTAGCCTTTGGAGAGTTGGACCAGTCTGCAGGGGCTGTTCCCGGAGCGACTGGCCGAGATTTCTTGCTGCTCCTTCCCTACTCAAAACCTTAACCCTGGGCTGGACAGCCCTGTGTTTCCCCAGCGTCTGGTGGTGGCTCTGGGCTTTTGCAAGTTACAGTGGGTCTTTTGATCTTAAGCGTCACCTTCCCAGTAAACGGAACAAAGAAGTTACAGACAGCAGCTAAGTGGGGAGAGGGGAGCTAAGGAGAGAAGGTGGGAGGCGTTTCTGCCTGCTTGCAGCTCAGAAATTTAGGTGCAAGTAGGATGCGGGTGTTATGCTGGGCAACTGTCCGGGAAGCAGCGCGCCTCCTCGAGTCCTGTCATTACCACGCCAAGTCGAGGGAGGGAACTCAGTCCCCCGCATTGGAAACGAGGCAGTGTTTCCAGTTCAACACTGTGATGGTTCTCTTTTCCCTCTAGGGGCAGGAGTGATTCCCAGTCCAGAAGTTTGACCTCTTATTTTAATACAACACCCGCCTCTTACAGGCAACAGACTAGTCCAGCCAGGTCAAGGTGAAATATGCGGGAGTTTCCCCCCTTCTTATTTAATAGTTTCCGTCTCCTTATTTGTAGTTAAAAAAAAAAAAAAAAAGGTAGGAGGCGTGCTCTCTCTCTCTTTTTCTTTCTGTTGACTGAGTGAATGGAAAGTACCTGGTTCATAAACCACAACATCGAAACTCCCCCTTTCAGGTGTGGACTGCACAGCGAGGTGCACAGAATTAGTTAAGCAAACCAGGAACCCAGCTAGAAAAATTAAACGCGCCCTGGATCTACAAAGCAGGTCCCTTCGAGAGACCAAAGCCGTGATCCCAACCTTAGCAACATAATTCTACTACAGGTGATGTACTCTAAATAAATAGAAATAAATCCAGCTCCGCTTTAATTTTTATTTTCTTAGTTCCAAGTTTGAACAGTTATAGTTTTGTTTTTTGGTTGTCCTAAAGGAAAGACCTACACATTAGTTAGGAAGGGTGTGAGGACTTGAAAATTTGAACACAAAAGTATCATAGTCAATATCTGATTAGTGACTCTTCCATTGGGCAGCCTGTGTGTTTTCCAGGGGTTATGACACAGACCTACTGAATGCAGCCACCCTTGAGATGTGCAGTGCTCCAGTTAAAAAAAAAAATTAAATCCCTCATTCCTGTAAGGACTGACGTAAAGTGTACGTCAGTACACTTTAAAGTGTCTATCACATGACCATTCCATGATATTCTAAAATACAACTCGTGATGCTGGGTTGTAAGTGGCAGTTACAGTAACAAATAACATATAAATGTATGCAAACAAGAAAGGATGTAACTTTATGAAATTGATGAGGTATGCACTAATTTTTGTAACTCTATATTTTTAGGTGTTGATATATTATATATACTAATCCAGAAAAACCATGTAGCAAGAGGAATAAAATGAAGTTCAGAAATCTGTTTCGGGAAATTTTGAAGCCCTTTAGAAAGAAAGATTTCTACATTTTATTACGTGAAATTCATGCAAATACATGTCAGGTGCCAGTGCTATGGAGTTGTTGAAGAATAAGCACAATACCATTTATTACCACTTCTCAGTTGTAAAGAAGCTGTAACTCTGGTTGTTGAAATAAAATAAAATGAAACATCCTAGATGTGAGACTGACCCCTGCCAGTTATTTACAAAAAAGTTATCTGCACATTTTGGGCTGTAAACATAAAAGTTAATTCTCCTGAAAGACTGCAAATCATCTTTAGGGTTTTCTTAAAGTAAATACAACTAGTGACCCAGGAACAAAAAGTTTACTTGTTTCCAATAAATGTCACTGATCACCACAACTCATCCTTTTTCCTATAAAGAAATGTACAGCACATTTTAAAGAAATGCAGTATTGTTATCTTCGTCGTATTACCTGAAGAATTCTAATAAAGGAAAATTGTTTCAGAAGATGGTGACTTAATTAATTTGTTTTTCTATCATGTTCGGCTATCTTGCTTTGAAATTTCTGACAGCTAATTTTTCATCATTTGTGGTAATGAGAGGAAATGAAATTCACAGATAGTCTAAAAATAACATTTTAGTTATTCATTCCAGGCTTCCTATCATTAGAGTCTTTGAGCTGAGTTACTAAAAGGTCATAAAATGAGATGACTTAAATTTCTTCCCTACTCCTTTAACCTTGATTTCTCACTAAGTCAGTTTATGGTAAGAATGAATAAGCTATAGATAGGTAGCAGGAGTGAGGGAGACATTCAGACTGTTTTTTAAGAAAGGATCTTGCTATCTCACTATGTTGCCCAAACTGGCCTTGACCTCCTGGTTCAAGCTTGAACTCAAGCTATCCTCCCACCTCAACCTTCTGTGTAGCTGGGATTATAGGTGTAAGACACCACATACAGCTGTGGCTATTAACACGTTAACTAGATTTGACCAAATTATTGATCTCACAGTGGCACGTACAGACACATTTGAAATTTAGTGTGTTTAAAATGTTTGAAGTTGGGATCAGAGCCATTCAGTATGTTTTGAGTGGATATTCACAAGTTATCTAAGAACTTGTCTGAGACATCTCAGAAGATGATTAATGGTCAGACCAGTGAGATATATTGTTGTGACTATGACCTCTAGCTTCTTCTAATGATAAAGTACGTAAGTTACTTGAAGATATTTTTCACTGAATTGTTAATAAGACAGTGTTTCTCATACTGTAGACTGAAGACTGCATACAACACAATCCCCCATAGAGTAATTCTGAGTTCTAATTCCTTGTCTCTGTTCCAGGAGATTCTGAATTAGTAGATCTTGTATGGTGCTCGGCAATCTGCATTATACCAAGGCCCTCAAATGGTTTTTATATGCTCTGAAGTTTAAGAACCTCCTACTTTAATGGGTTAATGCAGAGACTTCTTAAAGGCCTCATGAGTGTTTAATAACAAAGATCAGTGTCAGGTGCAAATTCAAAGAAAAATGAACTGCTGGAGCCAATGTCTTTTGCCAAGATAGTTTATGGATGACTCAATCAGTGAGATATTAATGTTTTCTGAAACAAGACTTCCATGATTAAGCTTGGGAAATGCTGAATTAAAGTCAAATTAAATCCTTTACTAGAGGAATTTCCAGAAACTCAATAGACCAGCATGCCATTAGATTCTCCAAAGGAAGAACCCTTTATTCAGAGAACATCTCACAGATTAATCTTCCTTGAAGCATGCTGCAGAGCTAGCCCCATTTTACAAATGTGGAAACTGAGAAAAACATTGGCAAAGAAACCAACCTCACTTTTTCTTTCTTTCTTTCTTTCTTTTCTTTTTTTTTCCAACCTCACTTTTCCAAGGGAATTCGTGAGCAGGCAGAAATCAGAGCTCTGATACTTCTCAATCATCTCATATTGTCATGACTTTTAGTTTCAAGTAAAGAGTCAGATTGTGGCTATTCTAAGTAAAAAAGGAAATTATTGGCCAGGTGTGGTGGCTCACACCTGTAATCCCAGCACTTTGGGAGACCAAGGCAGGAGAATTACCTGAGGTCAGGAGTTCGAGACCAGCCTGGCCAACATGGCAAAACCCGTCTCTACTAAAAATGTAAAAATTAGCCTGGCATGGTGGCGTATGCCTGCAGTCCCAGCTATGCGGGAGGCTGAGGCATGAGAATTGCTTAAACCCCGGAGGTGGAGGTTGCGATGACCTGAAATTACACCACTGTACACCAGCCTGGGTGACAAAGTGACACTCTGTCTCAAAAAAAAAAAAAAAAGGAAATTATTGAAAGAAAATTGGGAGCTCACAGAATCAGCAGGAAGCTGGGAGACTAAGACTAACCAAGGCCAGGAAACACGGAGGCATAAGCAGTAGCAGGAAGTGTCTAACTCTTAAGAACAACTTTGAATTCTCCCTTTGCTTTGGATCACTTGCTCAAGATTCAAAATCCTTGTTGGGAATATCTGATTTTCAGAATTTTCATCACATGTTAGTACACTGGCTTTCTGGGTGTGGGAAAAGGAGAGGAAGGCTCTTGTCTTTGGCTTTCTTGGTAGAAAATATGGGTACTTTTGAATGAAACATTTTATCCATGCATAGTCTAATCCTATGCACAGAGCCTGTGTATGGTGTTATCCTTTTATAGCATGCAGGAAACTAATGCTTGCTTAGCCTTTATCTCATCATTAGAAAGATGATGTTTGCCCTGGCTCACCACTTCATCGCACACAACTGGAAGTCTGTGTGCTAGAAGTGCTAGGGAATGAACAAAATTCCCGGGTGCTGTCTTAACTGTGCACCAACCAGATAGGAAGTGAGGTATAAATACCCCAGCTCCCTGTTTCTTGTATGAAGTCACTTTAGGCCTTGTGTTCTACACTATTTTTGAACTAGTTTTTAATTTTCAATCTATCATGGATTGATACTTAAATAACATAAAGTAAAATGAATTACTGGAAAAAATGGGTATCACTAAAATGTCAAATTTCTATAAAAGTTTCTTAGTACTTTTAATTTTTATACATTCTTTGTCCTGGGCCAGTCTCAAACAGTAGAAGATGTACTAATGCCACACATTACATTAGGAATAATATTTAGCACCATTTTCCGAAGTTCCCCTGTAAGACCAAGCTATACTTGGTCACAGTGATATCTGCATTCAAATAGATCCTTCATTGGTTGTCTTTCCTTCCTTCATTTCCCTGTGACCCCCCAATATTTCCTGGTGTCAGGGTCTTCTTCTGGATAAAACTAAATTAAGACAAGCAATAAATGTGACTGGAAACTAACCGCTGATGTGCCGCATGTATGAATTTAAAATCTTTTCTTGTCTAGCTATAAGACAACCACAGTGCAAAAAGCACATGGGCTTTGGAGTCTTAAGAAGTAAGTTTGAATCTGCTACCCAGTAGCTGTAGAATCATGGGTAACTTATTTAATTTTCTGCAGCCTCAACTCATTTATGTGATGACTATATTAAAACTATCAAAATTACAAATTAAAATGAAGTATCACTACACTCCTATTAGAACAGCCAAAATCCAAAACACTGGTAATACCAAATGCTGATAAGGACATAGGGCACTCGGAACCATCATCACTGTTGGTGGGAATGCCACTTTGGAAGACAGTTTGGCAGTTTCTCACAAAACTAAATGATCCAGCAATTGTGCTCCTTGGTATTTACCCAAAGGAGTTGAAAACTATGTCTGCCAATTTTATTCGTAATTTCCCAAACTTGGAAGTAACCAAGATGTCCTCAGTAGGTAAGTAGATAAATAAATTGTGGTACATCCAGACAATAGAATATTACTCAGGACTAAAAATAAATGAATTATCAAGCCATGGGATGACTTGAAGGAAACTTAAATGCATATTACTAAGTGAAGGACACCAACCAAAAAGTCTAAATGTTGTTTGATTCCAAACCTGAGACATTTTGGAAAAGGCAATCTGATGGAGACAGTAAAAAGATAGTGTTTGCCTGGGACTGCGAGAAGGAGAGATGAATAGGTGGAGCGTAGAAGATTTCTAGGGCAATGAAACTACTCTGTATGGTACTGCAGTGGTGGAATCATGTCATTATGCATTTGTCAAAACCCATGTAATGTACAATACTGAGTGAACCTTAATGTAAACTGTGGACTCTGGGTGATAATCGTATGTCAATGTTGATTGATCGATTATAACAGATGTGGGATGTTGATAGTGGCTGAGCCCATGTGGAGGCAGGGAGTATATTGGAACTCTGTACTTACCCCTTAATTTTTCTATGAACTTAAAAGTGCTCTAAAAATTAAAGTCTATAAAATGCAAACACATGCTACACAAAACTACCCAGTAAAATACTTGTAAAAAATCAAAAGAGGTCATGAGCGAAACATGTTAGAATTCATCATATATTATCCCAAGGATTTTTGCAATGGTAATTAGGACTATTTTAATTTCATAATATAAACAACATTGAAAATACATGAATACTTATTTCAAGACTTGCATATTGTCATAAAAATAACATCAAATATCTTTGGTTTTGCTGAATACATAACTTTTCCTTTTCTGGTAACTATACTATTCTTTACCCACATGAATAGATGTAGTGAGCATGTCTTTTTATAGAAGTCTGTAATCCTAGTATTCTTTATGACAATCTAGTTTTATGTCTCCTTAATCAAACAAAATTGTTCCACAATCTTTTTAGTCTGAAGTCATCTCTGTACAGTTTGATATACAACTGTATGAAAGTTTCACTCACTTGCATGTGCCAGAGACACATATATTTAATACTGCCTTTTATTTAAAATTTAACATGTTTACCCTAATATGTAGCTAGGGGGGTAAATGAATATGCAATAAGTATTAAGTATTACTTTATTGCTCAGATTTCTAAATGGACAGCCGTATAAAGGACCAACAGCTGGTTCTCTCAAATAGAGGTATCAGCAGACATTATAAAGACAACATTTCACCATTGACATAGTTCATCTGTTGAGCCACCGTGGAATGTGGACTGATTTGCACATCATTACACAGCTAAAGGCCTTTCTGAACTTCAATAACTCAGAGGGAACCCATGACTAAAATTCTCCCTTTCAGCATTTTCTCATGATCACATAGCCTCTGGAGAGTGAAGTCACTACAAAATTTAAATTATTCTAATCAAATTCACATGGAGTTTTTATACTTGGAATACTGCCATTCTCAGCCCCTTTCTCCAATTTCAAAATTACTTCATGTTTCACCTTGAAGAATGTGACCTTTCAACATAGTGAGGAAATTCTTTGCATGTTACGCACAGGATATTCAATTTAAACATTCATCTAATAAATATGTAAATATTTATTGAACATTTACTATGTGTAAAGTGATGGGCCCTATGGAAAACACAAGCATCAATAGAACCCAATCCCTTTTTTGAAAGATACTATAATCTGATTTGGAAATGATATGTAATAATAATAAAAAAGATGACTACTTTGGTAAATTGTTAAAAGTAAGATAGTTCAGAAATAGAACCCAATATTAATAGCAATTTAATATAATATAAAATTTGCTTCAAAAATCAATGAAGAGGGGATAAATAATAAATGGAGTTGGGACAATTATTAGCTACTTGGACAAAAACTTAAATCTAGAAACTTACTTTATATCAAAATACATTCATCATAAACTAAAGAACTTAGTGTAAAACTAGGAGACAATATAGGTCAGTACTTTCTGGCATTGGCAATGAAAGTTCTTTCTACATGTAAAAATAATTTATCCAGTTTAAAGAAAACCAATGGACACATTTGATGATACTTTTTTTAAACCTTAGGTATTTATAAATGTTGCAGAAATGGATGAAAATACATACCATAGAATATGCTCATACAAATGTATAAGAAAACATTTAGCCTACAATAGATAAACGTGTAAAGAGGATAGAGAATACAGATGTTTAAAGACATGGAAAATGTTCAGCTTTACTAGTTATCAAAGAAATACTAATTTAAGAAATGAGATACTATTGTTACCCATCAAATGCTCAAAGACTTTAAAAAAATGACAGTATGTAGTGCTAGCTAGGTTAAAACAGGAACTCATTTATGGTGAAATTGCAAATTGGCTGTAACATTTTTTGTAATCGGTTGGCACTATGTAATAAAATCTTGAAAATATTTGAAATATTAATCCCATATCTGGGAATTTAGTCCTTTAAAGGTTCAGAAATATAAGAAATGTATTTATAAAGATCTGCTCTTCAGTATGATGTACAATTCCAACAAAAAAATGAAAACAGTATTTTTGGCCGTTTGAACCCTTTTCAAGCTAAAGTAGCAGGGAAGTTTACCAAGATTTTAAGTGTATCCCAGGTATCACTGTTCCCTCTTACAGATGTATGCTAGACAACACCTGTCTTTCATTAGTTTACAAATTATATTAATCCTGTCTTAGTGAAGCATCTAAATCTTTTCTATTCTCTTTACCCTCTTTACTCCTTAGTAAAACTTCTTAGTTCAGGCTTTTTTTTTTTTTTTTTTTCCTTGGAACTCTTAGCCCTCCTTTCTCCACAGTGGTAGGAGAGTTTTCCTTTGGAGACACAAATATAAACTGTTTGTCCTCTTCTTAAACCCTTCTATGGTTCATTTAATGCCACTCTCCAACCTTTCTCCTAGGCCATGGAGAGACTTTTAACATCAGCTATGAAACCTTGGACACCCTGGCCCCAAATCACATTCCCAGTACCCTTTTCTGTGAAATCCTCTGCCCTTTCTCAACTCTGTTTACCCTAGGCTCTTCAGAAGAGAATCCTGGTTTTCTACAAGCACTTTCACTTGCCTTTTCATAGGCGTCATTCTCAGCCAGACATGTTTTTTCCCCACTTTTTTTTTTCCTCTCATTTGTCCTACTTGATTGTCAAGCATCATTTCTATTGCCACTGCTGCAAGGTCTTTTCAAATTCTTCTGGGCATGATTTACAATGTCTTTCCTTTTAAGTCATTAAATATTTTCTCATTAAAAAAGTAATATTTTTTATTATAGAAAACTTATTACATTTTCATGACGAATCTTATTTGCTTTATTTTTATGTACCTGATAAATCATACTAGATTTATCTTTTTTGTTGTACTTTTTATGATTATCTTTCTATGTTACATATTATTCCATAGTGGCTGTGGTGCCTAGTATACTTAAATATGCTGTGTGATTGTGCTAGATTCTTGGCAGTGAAATATATTTGGTGTACTTAAATTGGGCAATTTGAGGAGAATTTTCTAATGGGTTAGGGTGTTAGTGACAGCACAGTATCCCTGAGTTAGAAACAGTGTGCATGGGTGCAGGGCGCAGAACAGAATGCATCACTATCCCTAGGCTTCAAAAGACAAGAGAAGCATATATTACTGAACCTAAGGGAGATTGAGTTATGTGAAGAGGGCATGTGAAAGGCTGTTTTACTGTTTTACCTTTGTTCAAGAATGTTGGCCAGCCTGAGGCTATCTGCGGAAAGGGGACAGGGAAAATAACTACTCCTACTTCATTCTTCTTCTCATCTTCAATTTCTATCAAGACATACCATTAGTAAAGTTCATTCCAAAGCCAGAAGTTAGTGGAGCCACAGTCAGAGTCTTAGGAAGGCTAGCCTCTCATGACGGAGGACAATTGGAGAGAGAAGCTGGTGGGGTAAACAGAAGACAACTGGCAAACATCAATGTTGGAGTATGTTCTGTTTATAGTTTTTGGCTATTTTATTAATAAACATATTTGCATGCCTCTTTATCCAAATTTTTTAATATTTAGGATTCTTTTTGTAGGAAAAGTTCCTAAGGTAAAATTACTGGGTCAAAGTTTAGATACATTCTCAAGGCTCCTAACACTTACTGCCAAATAGCTTTGCTTTTCCAAAAGATTGTACAAATTCATCCTCCAACCAGAAAACCATGAAAGTACTTTTTCATTATATTTTAAACCCTGGGGAATGTAACCCTCAGGAAAAACTTTCTGACAACGAGTAAGAAGGAAAGGGTGGGTGTGGTTGGTTTGGTTGGGAGGATAGTTGCTAGTCTGTAGGTAGAAGAAAACAGGGCGTGCCAAAAGACCCAAAGAAATAAGAACTAAAGGACTTGATGAGATGCTTTGTCCAGTTAAGATCGCAATGCTGGGGATGGATTGTGTACTTTGAAAGGGCTTTCTAAGTCAGGCTTCCAGCAGGAAACAGAAAGCAGACAAATTGAGTAGTTGAAGCCTGTAGGGAAGGTTTTAAGAAAAGGAACAACCGGTGGTGTAGTCCTCTGAGACTTATAATAGTGGGGAACCTTAGCATCCCTGGCTTGGAGGAACAGTAAAAGACAATATTTCAAGGGACACATACATACACTCACACATGGGGAATGGGGGGCTGTGTAAGGAGGACCTCCAAATAGGAAGAAGGGATTAAATCAATGGACCAGCAGGGGGAAAGCAGGGCAAATAAATGCCCTGACTTTCATTTCTCTCCACCCTCCAAACTCCTGCCAGTGCTCCCAGATGGGCCAAACTCAGTGGAAGCTAGAGGTAAAGTAGTCCTTTAATGCAATCTATACCAGCCAGCTTCCTGGGGGCACAGAGTGGATAGAGAAGGAAACTGGATGGACAAATGGAAAATATCCAACAGATTTAAGTTTAAAGGATATCAGATGGCCAAGAGATAAGAAATTGGCTTTATTAAGGTAGCCATAATCTATCTTGGCAAGGTTAGCAAAAGAAATAAAAAAATTGCTACTTAGTCTAAATTTTACATATTTGATTAATCACTAAGTGTTTGTATTTTTGCTAACTAAGGTCTCTTTGCTCCCATATATACTCCTACTTTTTCACTTGGACTCTTTGGATCTTCTTGATTGACTGGAAAACGCAAGTCCCAGAATCAAATACAAAGAATGAAAGTGAAGGAAGAGAAACAAAGGTCACTGCGTAGTTCTAAGACCCTGTTGTGGAGACTAGCAAACTGGCAGCCCATGGACCAAATGTGACCAGTAGATCTTTATTTGGCCCTCATAGCATCATTCCACAGAGTGGTTTAAAAATTGATACATTTTGGCTGGGCGTGGTGACTGACACCTGTAATTCCAGCACTTTGGGAGGCCAAGATGGGTAGATCACGAGGTCAGGAGATTGAGACCATCCTGGCTAACACGGTGAAACCCCGTCTCTACTAAAAATACAAAAAAATTAGCCGGGCCTGACTAAAAAAAAATCAGCGGGCGCCTGTAGTCCCAGCTACTCAGGAGGCTGAGGCAGGAGAATGGCGTGAACCTGGGAGGCGGAGCTTGCAGTGAGCCGAGATTGCCACTGCACTCCAACCTGGGCAACAGAATGAGACTCTGTCTCCAAAAAAAAAAAAATTAATTAATTTTGTGTAAAACTTAAAAATCAGGATGTTTCATAAAATCCTACTTTCAGCATCTCTTAATCAGAATATTGGGCACAACTGGGTCTGCATTTCTTCAAGGCAATGAGCTAGGGCTGTTTATCTTCCACCCACTTAAGAACGGTCGGAGCTCTCCAGTCTGCTACAACCCTTACCACTCTGCTGTCTCCTTAAGGGTCAGTTACCGTTTTTCTTTTTTTTTTTTTTGAACATGTTCCTGCTTTTCATGTGGCCAGGCTGAGTTCACTGATGTATGTTATGTGCCCAAGTCCTACAGGCATTTAAGTTTGTGATCCCTGCACAGTGGCTCATGGACAAAGGGAGCAGTGCCCAGCCTCTGATTCTTTATTTCCTTAGATCAACTCAGCATTTAGCATCAATTCAGCAGGAATTACATTATTGTCAATGAAATGTGGCATAACGAAAATTTCTAACAACCTCTCTGTAATTCCTTCGGCCAAATGATGATTGCCTGTTATCTGATCTGTGTCCTAGCTCTTACCAGTTTCCGTTGTACCTCTTAACTCTGTATTTTATTCAGCCTACAGAAGAAGTTTCAAGTTATAATAGCTTCTCTCTTGTTGCATTAGATTGACTTTCATAAAACTGAAAGTTTCCTATCTTTTGAGAACTCTCTTTTCCTTGATGTTCAATTGATTTTGAATCCTCCAAATATACTCTGTCGTAGCTCTATAAGACTGACAGTTTCTGATTTTCAGGTGTTATTTATTGAATTACTGGTTAGACTGAGAGAAAAACTTGCATTTCTTCTAGTTACTAAATTTTACTGAATCCTGTTATGACACCTGTTTTTAACTTACCCACTTGGGCAGAGCCTAGCAATATCTTCCTGATGCTCATTATTGCCTCAATTTTTTTCTTTCTTTTTGAGAAGAAGTTTTGCTCTTTTTGCCCAGGCTGGAATGCAATGGCGCAATCACAGCTCACTGCAACCTCTGCCTCCCGGATTCAAGCGATTCTCCTGCCTCAGCCTCCTGAGTAGCTGGGATTACAGGCACGCACCACCACACCCGGCTAATTTTGTATCTTTAGTAGAGACAGGTTTTCACCATGTTGGCCAGGCTGGTCTAGAATTCCTGACCTCAGGTGATCCACCCGCCTCGGCCTCCCAAAGTGCTGGGATCACAGGTACGAGCCAGCGTGCCTGGCCTATTGCCTCAACTTTTATCAAAAAAAGTCCTACAGTCCTAGATCTTGCCCAGTTGGTTTTTGGTCTCAAAACTAAGTAAGAATATGACTTTTCATCATGGACACTGAGGACAGTATTAGAGAGGTGCTCAAGAAATGAGGTACACACAATGGGGCAAAATCAAGTTCTGTTGTTTACAGAAAGTGTTAAGTAAGACATTAAGCCTAGTACCTTTAAGAAACTATTAAAAATGCTCTTTAGAATATTAGAAAGGTTATAAGATAACAATATTTTGAAGAGCTTAAGGTGTCAATTAAAATTATTTTAGATACTCTGTTTGACAGCAAACAATGTGTCTCTAGAAAAGGGAGATAAATAACAACTAGAAGCATAATTGCCACATAGCCATCCTTTAGAAGGATACCTGAGCTCAAAACCCATTCCAAACACCTTACTCTGTGTTGGTAAAATGGTTTTAGTGATAAGTCAAGGAGTAATGGAGAAAAACTAATATATACTGGAAAAGATAATTTAGAAGTGGCCTGAGGAAATTCAGATGGAGACATCCAGAAGGCAGTTGGAAATATAGTTCTGAAACTTAAAAAGGGAAGTATGAGCTGTCATTATAGATTTGAGAGTGAAAATATGCTCATTCTTTAAATACATCTTATGTGCCACAGACTAGGCAAAGCATTTTCTATTCATTGTATCTTTTAGTTCCCAAAGGTAATTATGATCCCAGTACTATTATTATCACTGTTTTTTAGAGGAGGAAACTGAGTTATAAGGGTAAAATAATATGCACAAGATCACATTGTAAATGGTGGGCTTAGGATTTAAACCCAGGCAATGCTAGTCAAGAACCTATGCTCACAATTATGACTGCCTTCCAGCACAGATGGGCACTTACTCTGTACACTTAGCACTCAAAACTATTATAGATATTCAGCTTTTCTCTGTTGTAGATAATGAGTGTAAATATGACATTAAGGATTCTTTCTGCCTTTGGCTTTAATGGGAAAGAGTTATAAAGTTATAATTTGATAATTATTGAGAAATTTATTAAATTGGTGTTTTCCTTCGATGACTGGATTTTGAAAACAAAAACATAGTTTTGATTTTTTTCTTTTTACCACAAATGTAATAACATGTTCAGAAAATCTCATTATCATGATAAAATAACACATTTTACTGAGGTAATTATTATAATAACAGGCTATTTCACATTTTTCCCTCTCCACCCAAGTCATTTTTGTTTTTAGTGAGCCGACTTTTATCTGCTTCGCATCTGAGGCAGATGGCAGGACAGTTGCCTAACTGCTGTTTTTTTTGTTTTTTTGTTTTTTTTTGGTTGGGAAGCGAGGTTAAGTCCTGTGCAGAGAGAGAGAGATAAACCTCAGCAAAATAACTTACTATGAGTAAACTATTGTCATCATCTTAAACTATGTAAATATATAAATTATTTGATTTAGCTTGACACTCCAGTGCTAAAATTCTAAGAATATTGAATAATGTTTTTATATCCATCTTAGGTAATTAATGGAAAATCTAGTAAATAGAGCTTATTTCATAGATGAAGAGGTGCACAGCAGACTGAACTTATTATGACAGAATTGTTTAGCATTTGCTAAAAAATGGTACTACTTAGTGGCTTGACAAGAATCAATTAATTCTTAAGGTTTGCTTCCATCCCAAATAAGTGCACTAGAATGAAGGAGGAGTCTGGCTCAGGTCTTTTTCTTGCCAGAATATGGCAGACTAAGAGCAGAGGACTATGTAAGGCAGAGGGTTTCAGCAGGGGAACGGAGCCAACAGAATTACCCACTGGGATTTTTGAATTTTGTTTTCTAGATTTCCCCAATCTCCCCTTTGTGACCTAACCTGGAACAGGTTAGGAGTCACAGTCTCCAGGTGAGAAGTGGCCAGTGCCTCAGTTCTCATGCTTAGCTACTCATTAAAATAACTTAAGAAGCTTTTAAAAAATACTAGCATCCAGTATTTTTAAAATCAGAATCTCCAGAGTTGGGGATTGAGCAGTGATAGTTGAAAAAAAAAAAACCAAGAAAACTAACAAAAAAACCCTTGCCAACTTATTCTAATTTGTAGCCATGGTTGAACACCACAAGCTCACTTGTTTTAGTCCATTTAAGCCGCTATAACTGCTATAAAAAATCCTTAGCCTGGATAATTTATAAACAACAGGTTTTATTTCCTGTAGTTCTGAAGCCCGAAAAATTCAAGATGAACATGTCAGCTGATTCAAAGTCTGGTGACGGCCAGACATCTCATAGATGGTGCCCTTTCACTCTATCCTTGCATGGTGGAAGGGGAAAAAAAGGCTCCTTCAAGCCTCTTTTAAAAGAGTGCTAATCCCACTCATGGGAGCCCTCATGACCTAATCTCCTCCCAGAGGCCCCACCTCCTAATACCATCACATTGTGGATTAGATTTCAACATATGAGTTCTGGAGGGACACAAACATCTAGGCTATAGCAACAGTATAGGTTAAAAATCCTGATATTCTAACCTCCCCTTCCCCCAGCACACACTATTTCTTTAATTCCTGGTTGAGAACCTTCAACCTACATGATGATGAAGACACTCGTGAAAACTGAGTACCTCACTGCTGGGGACCAGAGCTAGGTCAGAGTCTCTCAACCTTGGCACCATTTAGGCTTGATAGTTCTTTGTTGCAGGGGAGGGGTCATGCGTGGATTGTGGGATGTTTAGCCACACCTCTAGTTTCTACCCATTTAGATACCAGTTGTACCCTTTCCCCCAGTTGTGACAACCATTAAATGTCTCCAGACATTGCCAAATGTTCTGTGGGAAACAAAATCTCTCCTGATTCAGAACTGCAGACTTAGCCAATTAGCTAAAGCAGGACCCAGTAAGTCAGTCTGGGCTGGGGGTGGATCTGGTTGGATAGAATATGAAATCCTTAAATGCAAACTGGAATGCATGAAGGTTTACGTGGGGCTTTACATTTTATCTGAAGAAGATGTGGAAGCATTTGGAATTTGTTCTGTTATTTATTGCTATGTAACAAACCACTATAACATTTAGTGGCTTAGAACAGTGACAACATAAATTTCATTCACAAATCTGAAATTTGACCAAGGTTGGGTGAAAGAGCTTGTCTTTTGTCTACTGGGGTGGCCCAAAAGCTGGGGGCTAGAATTATCTAAAGGCTCACTCATGTAGTGGTTAAAGGCTGGCTGTCAATGGAGAGTTCAACTGTATCTATGACTGAAAGACCTACATGTGGTCTTTTCATGTGGCTGCTTGGCTTTCTTACAGCATGGTGGCTGGTTTCCTAGGGCCAGCATCCCAAGGGAGTTAGGAGGAAGCTGTATTGCATTTTATGAATTGGTCTTAGAAGTCACATAGCGTCACTTCTACTGCAGTCAAAAGTTCACCCAGGTCCAAGAAGAGGTAACATAAATCCCATCATTTGGTGGAGAGATGTCAGTGTCACTTTGGAAAATACAATCTACTACAAAGTTGAAAAAGCAGATCCCACAGGATTGCTTACCTGGGGTCTACCACAGTGCTATCCAGGATTGCTCAAAGGAACACCTGTGTCAATCAGCTGGGGTATATTCATTTGAAATGTCAATTTCTGAACCTTTCTTTCAAGGATTTTCATTTGGCAAGTCAGCCATGGACATCTGGTGTTTGATTTTTCAACAAACCCTCAAAATAATTTTTATTCATGTTCAGAATGTTTTTTTCTTTATACTGATGCTTTAATCATTTACACATTTTCAGTACACATTTCCACATTTTCTTCCATGAAACAAGGTGGTGATATAGAGATAGCTTTGAGTAATACAGCTGTTTGGAAGAGCTACTTCAAATATTGCCTTTGGATTTGTAAAATGCACACATTACTTGTCAAAAGACACTTTGAAAGCAGTGTTGCTGATGGAGTTTCTGTGGACATTTGATCTGTTTTTGTTTCCATGCCATGTCAAAATGAAAAAAGAAAAGAGATAACATTGTAGTCTGAGTCAAGACATTTGAAATTATTTTTTGGGTCAAATTTTATAGGCTTATATGAGACACATAAATTCTACTTTTGGGGTCAAATTTTACATGCTTTTGTGTTACATTTGAAAACTATACTTTAGGCATCAAATGAAAAGTCAACATTTATGATGATGTAGCTGAAGTTGTATCACAAGGAAGGATTCTTTGCAGAAACTTAAAAATGATAATGTATATGGTAATGCGGATTCAGTTTTCAAGGGGAATTATGAAACTGTGGGAAATAACATGCTAGTGTAGGGAGATTTCCCTGACTTACATGTTGCTGATTAAGCAGCTTCAATGGCCTAAACTATACTTGAGAAAGCAGAATGTAAAAAGGCCTCCGTGCAATCAAAATAGAATGCAAAATTTCATAGCCTTTATTTGGAGTCTTTTTCTATAAACTTGCATGGATTTCTGACAGCAGGGTTCCCAGCTTATAGCCAAGGTAAAGCAGTGTGTTAGAATGAGTCAGAAGTTGAGAACTACAGTCAGGCACAATAAGAACTATGGGAAACTGAGGCAACAAAATAAAAATGTAGTGATTTCAAAGCAAGGTAGTTTTCAGTTTTTCAGAGTGGGGAAACTCGGTTTTACATCTCACTGTTTTTAGCCATACTACATACTATAGACGTATGTTTCATATATGTTTCTTCACAATAAGTCTGAGTTTTTGAAAAGCTTAACTATTTTGAATATATTCTGTTTGAAAGATCAAGGAAATATTGAGCAATTTTAGAAAATAATGATTTCAAAGTGGTTAAAGTAAAATAAGCTTTGATGTTTTTAATAGACACACTTCCATTATTTATAAAATTAGTTTTGTGGACTATTTCATTTGCAGAAGATACTAGATAATAAGTGTTTCTTGATGTACAAATTGGTCATTCTATTAAGATATTTTCTTTAAAATTTAAAAATCTAAATTAAAAGCTTGGGTGTGATATAAAATCTTATATGGAAAACTATATCAGCTTTTCAAAGTTATGGCAGCAAATGCTAACAAGCTGGGAAGGAGCGGCAGAACCACAGGGTCATCTGATCTACCACCAAGGCCTCACTCCAAAATGCATCACAAATGTGATCACTTGTTTTTGCCTCCACTGCTACCACCTTGTCCATGTCACCATCACCATCATCTCTCCCATCTGTACTTCTGTGATAGACTTCTATCTCCCTTTTCTCTTGGCTGCCTTTAATTCCTTCTTCAGGCAGCCAACAGATCAATTTACTTCCTTTTTTAACTACTATCATGGCTTTCCATCTCTTTCAAATAAAACCCCAAGTTCTTACCATAGCTTTCAAGGCCTTGCATGATTTGGTTCCTGCTTACTTCTCTAATCCCATCCATGACACTCCCCTTGGCTCACTCTGCTTTAGTTCCCTTGGCCCTCTGTTAGTATTTGTCCTTTGCACACATAATTTCCTCCACCTCTTCCTCTCTATTCTTGGCAGAGCTGGCTAGTTATTCTTCAGGTCCCAGTTTAAAAACTGTCTCCTATGAGAGGCCTTTCTTGACTTAACTACCTATTGTTGGTCTGTGTCTCCCCAGAACTATTCTCTATTATGATATGGTATTTAGTTCCTTTGTAGCCAGTATCTTTATGTGTTTTACCTATTTTTTTGTTCATTTTCTGTTTCCTTCACAAGATCTATGATGGAAAAGACCAGTCCGCTTTATTGAACTCTGATAATGATGGGTGCCTGGCACATAGTGGGTGCCTGGCACATAGTAGGTGCCTAGTAAATATTTTTTGAATTAACAAAATCATGAATGGTGTTCTATAAATAAATCAAGGGTAAGTACATGGAATATATATTGGAGAGTGCATGTGCTAATGCAACTTGTTTAACAAGAATTCGGTGATTCATAGATGCTCTATCCATATGAGCTTTGACAAGAATTCTATATATGTTTAACAAGAATTCGGGTGATTCATAGATGCTCTATCCATATGAGCTTTGAAATGAGAAATTTGTAGAGTTCATAACTAATTTTCCTTATGATATCATAAATCCATTCTCCAAAGCTGACTTTGTCAGAGTCCAAGTAAGGTGTTGAAGATATTTAGCTTGATTCAATCAAGTGTTTTTTAGGAGGAGAATAAAGGAAGTGATAATAGGATATGGAGCAAGAATCATTAATTATAGTATCTCATTTACTTTCAAGCATAATGAAGAAGTTATATCTGTTAATGTTCTTGTTGGAATTTGAGGAGTTTTCTGTTACATTACACTCAACAGTGGTTCAGTAAACATGAGTTTAATTAAATTTCTTTCATTATGGGCCTAGGCGTGGGGGTGATACATAATAAGAACACACTATTTCTTAAATGCATGAAAGATTTTCTGACCATTTAAAAGAACCTGGTTTAAATTGTTTTTTTGTGTGTGTTGAATGAATTGAAAAGTAGACATAATTATATATGCTGTTAATTTAAATACATAAAGGTGAAAAAACATACTTGAAAAAGTCTTTTTACCCTGTACTTATGTAGAAACATGTGATGACAAGACAATTTTATTCTAAAAGGAATGCATAGTAGGTCTCATGTAAAATAAAACAAGAAAGAAACCTTTAGGTGGCGGCCAAGAGCTATGATTATGAATTCCTTAGCCTGTTTTTATGAGAATTTATGATCTTGTTTGAAAGTGGTCATGTAAAACGGGCTATTTAAACCACAATAATTCAGTTCAAAGCAAACACATGGACAAAATTAGGCCTGGGAAGGAACTAGATTTGAATGTTAATACCATCAAATAATTAATCAAATTTTAATTTTGATTTGATTTGACAGTTGGTATCTTGATTATGATTAGTAGTGAGAGACCCAGTTCTGGGAAGACAATGGTATTTGATATTGAGTTACAGGATTAATTATTCTTAGCACTTAAGTAATTGTTTTAATCTTCACATAAATCATCTTTAAACAAAATGGTAGCTTTTTAAGAACTCAAAGAGTGTTATAAAGATGTCAAAACTGTCCAGATGCTTATTGTGCAATTGAAAGCTCCATTCAAAGTTGACACAGGCCCCAGAAGAAAGGTCAATTATCTAACTCACTTTTGCAACATCTGGCAGAAACTACGACTTGTTGGAGTACCAGTGTGTTCTTCTTCTCCTTTTTTATTGCTCTCTGAAATGAAAGTTTATGATTATATCTGCCATGTGCCCCTTTCAGTTCTAGAAAAAAAGAAAAGGATAAAATGTTTTTTAAAAGGCATTATAATTTTGTGATGACATGCACTCGTTTCAACTCCTTGTTTGTTCTTTTCATCAGTATGCATTAATCTACTCAAAAAGTTTTAGGCATCACTATTAGATATTGTTTTAGAGTAATATTTATGTAAAAATTTTCTCATTAGCCATTAATTCTGTTAGCATTTAGATTCATGATACACTTTTTGATAAGGCTTTTGGGCAACACAGACTAAATTTGGTAATTGCTTCTAATTAGGCCTTTTTTGAAGTGTTTCTAGTTCAATTCTTGTCACCTTAAGTAGTACACATTTAGCAATGGCTGTATACACACCCAGCATCATAGAGGATCGAAAACAAAGTAAACGACAAACTCGCTACACAAGGAGCTGACAAGCTCTCTACATGCAGCAAGAGAACAGAAACAAATTAAAATAATATATTAAAAACCACACATTGGTGTTGAGTAATAAAAAAGAAGAAAAGAGAAAGTGTGGGTTGATAGTAATAAAGAAAACCTCCATAGAGAAGATGAATAAACTAGTGAAGTTTCCCAATACATTAATGGGAAAATAAAGATTTTAATTCCTAAGAAACTCTAGTTCCGTTATTTAATGTCAATATTCCAAAATCATACTTTCACAATATAGATGCCAGAGTAGCATGAAACGGCTCCTTTTCTAAATATTTTCCACCACATTAATCAATGAAGATGGTGACATCCTCTCTCAAAAAAACCTACTGTGTATGTTGCTGGATTACACAGCAAGTTGCCCACAGAATTATCTAGAAATTATTTCTGTCCTCTAGTAATTTACAATACAAAATTGTCTAGGAAGAAAATTAGGCTGAAAACTTAGAAGGTTGTATCTATGAAGTTACGTGATAGAAATGTAATATTTTCTATGTCGCCATGAATGGTTTTAAAACGATATTCCCAAGGCCAGGGATCAGGAGAGCCATCTCTAATCCTGAATCTTAGGGTATATATATATAGTGATAAAATTGTGGTAAGGAGTCATTATTTCTGTGGAGACATTTTCCTTCTCTATGAAACCAAAGAGGAGAACCAGAAGATCTCTAAGTGTCCCCTCAACCCAAAAATGTTACATTTTATACTTTTACAGAGTAAAGCAAGACTTCATTCAACATTGTCAAAGCAGAAATTTTTTTTCCATCTGGTGAGTAAACTCATGGCATAATTGCAGTGGGAATTGCAAAATGAATCCCATGAATCCCGACACATAGGTGAGAATGGCTCCCTAGTAATGCTTAACCTACATGATTGTGTGTGTTGGCTCTATAATCACAGCAATAAAAAAAGAAGATACAGATAGTTTCTCTCAACTAAAATTTTGTATAATAGTGGTTAGATTTTAAGTCAACAACACTGTCCCCCAGAAAACCTGGAGTCTTTAATCAAGGTCAAAACTGTTAAATGCAAAAACAGTAAACTAAGAAAAACACAAAGAACTGATTTTCTTGTAGGTAAAATTTACCAAGTCTGTAAGTGCTATGAAACCAGTATATATTATGGTGTCAATATTTTTTTCATAAACTTACAAGACTGAAAATTTATTTTAAAAATTCAAAAATAGTAGATGACTGTGTCTTCTTAGCACTTAATAAATGTAATATGAATTAAAATTTAACTTCAAATATGCCAAAAGCATAAAGAATCTGCCACTATGCAAAAGGACTTAGTAAACATGTATATAGCCCTGAAGAATTCAGATATCAGAATTTTGTATCTCTTTAGTTCAAAGCAATGCATTTAAATCTCAGTGGACCATTTACCTTCACATGCAATCTACTATTGCACACTTTTGAAAATTAGATGAAAGTCAATAAAAGAAAGATGAACATCCAATTCCCAAAACTTAAAAAAAAAATCAGTTCAAAATGTATGCCTATTTCATGATAGGAGATTAGAGAAAACCTCCGTATTGTGAAAGCTTTCATTATTCTATTTTTCATATGTAATAAGCAGTATAAAATGATGGACATGCCTCCTGTCTCCAATACCACACAAAAGTAAGAGAAAAAACTTTTCTGTTCCATCTGCCTGCAATAATCACTCCAGAAACCACAACTAATCTTGGGATACACCATTATTCTGCTGCTTGCTAGTGGACCATACAATGTAAGAAAGTTATTTTTATCTTGAGTGGCAGCAATTCAGCAGGAGAGACTTGCCGATTTGAGTCTCACTCTTCACTACTTGATTGGGGTGAATGATGTCTGATGTAGACAAGTATAGGAGATGGCAGATCTCATTGATATTACTCCCTGTGAACCTACAAATGGGACATTTATTTATTTATTTATTTATTTATTATTTATTTATTTGTTTATTTATTTTTAAAGGCAGTCTATTTAGAATGCTGTTTTCTGAGGTAACTTTTTCTTCACCTTTTACTATATTAAAGAAATATTTAAAATCGCTTTAATCATAATCGTTTGCACGAAGTCAGTGGGACTGGGATTTAAACAACTAGGGAAAAATAATACACAGAAGGACTGAGAAAAGAACGAAGAATGTCATCCAGGAACTACATATATATATATATATTTGTTTTAAAGTTGGAGCAAAATGCCGAACATCTAACAGAGGGGCTGCAAAGAGAAGAAGAAAAGGTGGTCAGAATGAATATAAACTAAAGGTAAAGAAGAAGAATGAAAGTCAGGACAACACAAAAATGGCTAAAGATTGACGTGGGAAGAGCGTAATGCACCAATGCACAAAAGTGAAGCTGGAGAAAAAAATGATGAAATGTAGAACAGGAACAGCGGCAAAGAATGGAAAAAAAGAGGTCAGAAAAGCACAAAGAAGGCTGAAGAACAGCAAACAAAGAAGTAGCATCAAATGGAAAGGGAGCAAGTGTCTAGATTATAAAGTGGGGGAAGAAACATCAACAGTCGGGAGGGAGGGCAGCAGCAGAGTGAAGAGCCAGAGCGGCGGGAGGAGCCCAGTCATTTTGCTTTGTCTTCTGCAAGTGGGGTTTATGCCACTTGACTGGAGCTTGCAAATGGATGTGAATTAGTTTACTGGCATTCAAAATCCTGCTGTAACGTTGTTAGGAATTTGGCATGGTAGTGTTAGCCTTAACAAAGGCTATCAACTTTCCTCACGTTAAACCAAAGAAGCTGAATTTACATCCTTTTGCAGCTTTCAAGCTTTTTTCAAATGGCATAATATGGCAATAGCTAGGCTTGAAAAATTCTGGGCAGTAAAAAAAGCAAAAGAATCTGTTTTCATTAAAGATAATCTTATACTCATTTGCTCACATTCTTATTGCTTTAGTTTATAGTTATTTTAATAAATCAAGTTTACTTAAATTTAGATGGTTTTATTAAAATTCCAAAAATTCTTGAAATATGGAAATACAGATTGCAACTACAAGGACCAAACTGCTAAGATAAACTAGCAAATCACCATTAAAAAGGGCCCTTTGTCTAAATAGTTACTTTTTTTTTTTTGAGACAGAGTCTCGCTTTGTAGCCCAGGCTGGAGTGCAGTGGCGCGATCTCAGCTCACTGCAAGCTCCGCCTCCCGGGTTCACGCCAAGCTCCGCCTCCCGGGTTCACGCCATTCTCCTGCCTCAGTCTCCCAAGTAGCTAGTACTACAGGCGCCCACCACCACGCCCAGCTAATTTTCTGTATTTTTAGTAGAGACAGGGTTTCACCGTCTTAGCCAGGATGGTCTCAATCTCCTGACCTTGTGATCTACCCGCCTCAGCCTCCCAAAGAGCTGGGATTAGAGGTGTGAGCCACCGCGCCTGCAATTTTAAAATTGCTTTTGAGAGGAAAAAAAAAAAAAAGGTCTCCTTAAAGTTGCAAATAATGACACCGACACCAAGAATGATTTGTTATACAGCAGGTCAAAGTAAATTAGTAGTCTCTTAATTTTGAACTGGAACTAGAAACCTAGGTATATTTTCTGTTCTTCTGTTTTCTCCTTCTCCTTAATAGCCTCTGAGTGAACTATCTACTGAGTGAAGTTTTATATCTTCAAGTTCAACCCTGGTTAGGTGTTCACTTTTGTTTCTCCATGGGAACAAACACGTTACTATGGAAACTGGGCAGCACAAAATATAAACAGTACTGAAAGCTTTTAGGAAGAACCATGCTTATAGCACAATGTTAACTATACAATGCAAGTGCTAGCTGGGCATTCCAATACCTGGCATATTATGGCATCTCAAAAAGAATAACTTGATCCTGTGCCTTGTCAAATGTTGGAAAAATAAATAAAAGGGAACTATACTGTTTTCTCATTAGAGAAAATGCAAAAGTTTGTTTTCATTAAAAAAGTTAAAACCCACTAAACATATTGTGGTGATTATTTGCATTGACTTAAAAGATACACTTAAGTTTCTTTATATGATGAGCGCTTTTTGTACACTGACATTATCTTACATACCATATCTGCTTTGACATATGCTGGGTCTTAAGTCAGGGAAAAAGAAGTAAGAAAGAACAAAGAGGTTAGGACTAAGGGTCTAAAAGTCGGGTGAGTCACCAGCATTCCAAATCATTATATCCCAGGGTAGTGGAACTGCGTTTCTGGGCCAGGAATGATTTATCAGGGGTTGGAATGTGGTGGGGAGGATATAACAATAGGAATTGCAGGCAATGTTATGGCTTTAGTGCTAGGCAAGAGAAGAAAAGGGCCCATTCAGTTGGAAGCAAAGATCCAGCCAGTGTTCAGGGAACGGAGTGTGAAGTTCAAGGCCAAATACTAGCCATGAGGCAGGGCCCCTGTTCAACAAGTGATGGTTAACTTAGGGTGTAGAGTGGAGGATGCCTACAGGGACAGACACCCAAAAGTGAAGTTTAGGTAACAGCACTGTTGGATAGCGGAGTGGCTGCAGCTTGCTGACACCCACAGGCGATCTGCGTACTGGGCCCTGGAATACATGGTTTATTCCAGACTCAAGTTAATGATTGTGGCTAAAGCTTTTAATATATTGCCTGGTTTCATTAACATTATTAACATTGACTCTGCGCATAGGTGATAGTGGTAGCAACTGAAAACAGAAAGGAGACCTGATTTGCTAAAGATCAACCCACAATAAGACCTCCACATTTAATGTTTAACATTGTACACTTGTAGAAAGAAAGAAGCATTTGCAATTCAATGGCAAAGGAAGAACGCCCATGCAGGCCACACATTTGGTTCCACGTTCCGAATAGTATGCTATCCTGGCAATTATTGCATGTTACCTTTAGGTGAGAAAATGTCTGATGTGACATCAGTCTCTCTGATAAAAGCAATGAAATAAACTTCAATAAAAGAGTTAACATTTTTTAAAAAATGTTCTTAGGTGCCATCTCCTTACCTTGTATTTTTCAGAGTCCTTCAGTGGCTGTTTGGCAGGGGCTCAAAGCTATTACAGGGAAACAATTTGAACTGAACGATGTGGTTCACGAAGTCTGAGATCAGCAGACTGGGAACTCTTCAGCTTTCAGAAATAATGTGGTCATGCTGTGTGTGTCTCGTTGCACTTCTGGGTCATGGTTCATTTAATTTTATGGAACAAAATAGATTTCCATGGAAAATAGCATTTTCACCTATAAATTAGGAGCAAATAAAACAAAATTAATTTTGATGTAAAAATCTAGTCTCCACTGTAACCCACATGTAAATTCCCCATGTTATAATTAGAGAAATGCTCTTACTAATATAAGACAAAAGATATTAAAAGAAATGGCAATTGCCATTTTAAAAGGAAGTAGAAATTCAAAAGAGGAAGATGTGAGGTTTAACAAAACGTTGGAATTAAAAATGACACCGACAAACTAAGAAAGAAGGAATGTAAGCTGATATTTTTATTTTATTTTTACACTATAGAATTTGATGCAATGTGTAATGTCCCTCTTATGATTCTGAAGTTGAAATAAAACTAAACCAGTGTGTTAGAGTCTCTCCTCATGACCCTGTTCACAGCAGTCAGGTAACTTAGTTCCCCCTTTCTAAGCACATTTAAATGTAAGTTACTTAAACATAAAGATTGCTCTTAAGAGTTATTTAAATGTAAAGGTTGCTCTTAAGAAAATACCACCTCAGTAGTAGATGAGTACTTATCTGACAAAATACATTGTGTTATTATTTCACTTTATTAACTTGTGAGTAAAGAGAATGTTTGCCATTTCTAATATGGGAGGCACAATACGGGGGCTGACCTCAGCAGTCGGAGTACAGAACAGAGCACAGCATAGCGGGTGAGAGTGGTAGTTCAGTGAATAATGACTATATAGTACATTAGAAGTAGCTATGGAATGGTGCGAAAGATAAACAACCCTGAACACTAAATAAAATGGTAAGAATTAATGTATATTATTACAATAGGGAAAAGAGTGCAATGTGAACTAAGCTCAACTTTGACCTGTACAGAGGTGATTAGGTGGGACAATGAAGGATCAGGGAGAAGGGTGCGTGGGGACTCCATAGAGTTTTTCAGGAAAATGAAAAATTATAAAAATCCGGAAAAGAGGTTAGTCCACGTAAAACCCATCTAGTTTTGTTCACTGCTGTTTACTGAAGTTCGGCCCCTCCCCTCCCGCAGAGACTGGAAACCGGGATCCCGGTCTTCAGGTGTTGGTTGGAACAACAGGAAGCTCTTTTGGCAGCCTTGAGTATTATCAGGCTTGCACTTTAAGTGGGGGGTAGGCTCATCCTAAGTAAACAATGTTGAGCTGTTAGAAACTGTCTTAGTGTTTGTTCAACCTAGAAAGGTAAGCTTGAGGCCTAGTCAACAAGAGAACTCAGAGGAGCCTGACTAGCGCCTTTGCTCATACTAAGGAGAAAGGTGCCTGGGTGGGGTCTCTGAAAGCTTCACATCTAGAACCTCTTCAGAGGCCTAATATGTTTCTCAGTAGACACGATGGAGACATCCTAGGGCCAAATGATATGTCCTTTAGCATGAATAGAGTTGTAAATATGACTTGCGGAGTGGCAGGAAATCAGATCAAAAGGGAATTGGGAGTAAGATCATAGCAGGCTACTGAGTTTGAATTGTATACCATAGTCCAGTGCTTCCCAAAGTGTGGGACTCATTTACAGAAAACATTTTGGTTGTATGAGGATGAAGCATGAAATCATATTGTCATATGATTTTAAAATTTTTTCAATTACCTGTTACCCCTTCTCATTAACTTCAGGAGAAAGGCTTAGATTTATGCTAATCTGTGTCTTAAATAGTATTTTTTTTTCTTTTTTTGAGATGGAGTTTCACTCTTGTCACCCAGGCTGGAGTATAGTGGTGTAATCTCAGCTCACTGCAACCTCCGCACCCCCGAGTTCAGGTGATTCTCCTGCCTCAGACTCCCGAGCAGCTGGGATTACAGGCACCCGCCACCACACCTGGCTAAGTTTTTGTATTTTTAGTAGAGATGGGGTTTTGCCATGTTGGGCAGGCTGGTCTCGAGCTCCTGACCTCAGGTGATCCATTCGCCTCGGCTTCCCAAAGTGCTGGGATTACAGGTGTGAGCCACTGCGCCTGGCCTTAAAAGGTATTTTCTAATCAGTCTTTCTAACAAAGAGTGAATTTCTGCCAACATTTAATGATGTCGTTTCATTTTCGTTAATTAAAAAATAGATTTCTTTTATAGAACTGATAGTCATTTTCCCTTTTCGTAAGTAATATGAAGTTTTCTTTCCAAATACATTTACTTAAGTGAAACATACTGAGTCTGTTTAAAGACAAAGATTACATGTGGTGGCAGGAGGAAGAGTTGGGATGACTGCCTTCTTTCTGGGTTGCTCAAAGAGGGGAGTGGTGGTGTCACTAACTAAGGCAGGAATTACAGAAAAAAGGCCAGAACAAAGGAAAAGAAAATAAAAACTAAGAATAAGAAATGCCTTGCCTATTATTACTGGATGTGCAACAAAGTTTATGTAAACCAAGGTCCTATAACTTCAAGGACATACCCAACACGCCCTCACATTCTCTCTGACGCAGCCAATAAAAGCATGCCATAAACCAACCTTATCATTTCTACAACCTGCCTTCTCACAGCCTGCCATCACCCTGAAAATGCTGGGTGACTTTTTGTTCCACCAGGCATTAACCCTAGGTTACATCCTTGGTTCTTAGGCAATTCGGTCTTGACCTTAAACTTAGAGCTTCCTTTGGTCTTTATTTTACTGCTTTCACTTCGGGGAACAACTGAAATGCTGTATTCAGCCAAGCTTTTGGATCCTTGGGTCAAAGATCCTGGCACCCATGCTCCTCCAGTAACAGGCAGGCTTGTGTATGTACTTACTCTCTCTCTCTCTCTCTCTCTTTTTCTCTCTCTTTCCCCTTATTCCCCCTCTCTCTCTGAGAGGATAATCCTCCCTTTGCATGGGGGATTATTAGTGTGTCCTTGAAATATATTGCTTTTTATGTATCATGCATTAAGATATCAGATGTCAGGAATGCAAAGGCTCTTTTTCTTCTTTGGATATCAGCCAGTTATTCTTTTTGGAGTAATTTAAAGCAAATCCCTTTGTTGGAGCAAGACCTTCAACTTTTTTTTTTTTCTTTTTGAAGCAGATCTCTGTGCCTTTTGAACTTCTTTCTGAGGTTCATATCTGAAGCTATTCTCTCTGTCTTCTGAGATGTTGTACCTTATAATATAAAAATGCATGCTGTGGGCTGGGTATGGTGGCTCACGCCTGTAATTCTAATACTTTGGGATGTCAAGGCAGGTGGATCACCTGAGGTCAGGAGTTTGAGACCAGCCTGACCAACATGGTGAAACCCCATTTCTACTAAAAGTACAAAAAACTAGCCAGGTGTGGTGGCAGGTGCCTGTAATCCCAGCTACTTGGGAGGGTGAGGCAGGAGAATCGCTTGAACCCAGGGGTCAGAGGTTTCAGTGAGCCCAGATCGTGCCACTTCACTCCAGCCTGGGTGAAAGAGCAAAACACCGTCATATATATATATGATGAAAGAGGGCTTAGGAACAGAGAGAGAGAGAGAAAGAGAGAGAGAGAGAGAGAGAGAGAGAATTGGACATTAGCTCCTCGAAAATGGCTTTTTCCTGCTGAATGTTCATGGTGAGGTCAGTCTGACTTTTAATAATTTCAATTGACCCCTTCAAATTGAGTCTTAAATTGTCTAAATTTTTAAGTACAAAATTAGTATAGTCATATTTTTATTAATCATACCTTATCTGTAATCAAAGAAAGTACATCATTATTTCTTTTCAACAATTTTAAAAATTTTGTGGAATTTGGAGGTATGGTGTTGTAATAGATGCACATCTTTAAATAAGTAAAGTTTAAAATTTTTGTATAAAACTTATATGTGTAATTAAACCCAAGAATAGATGTTCCTTTCTGTTAATAGTCTATTTTTCCATTATGGGTTTACTTTTATTGAAATTTTGACAGAGATACTTGAGAATTAAAGATCTGAAAATGAATTACATTTATAAAAATACACCAGTTCATACTTCCTATATTACATATAAAAAGATATTTTTGTCATGGGATATTTTATGTTAACTTTAAGACTTCCATTTTTGAAAAATGATGAGTCATTTCCTCTGTCTGGGAGGTGACTGTGAGTGGTAAAAGTCTGGCTACATATGTTAAGGTCACAGAACTTGGTTAGAGCACAGAATCCATGTTCAGTTTCGAATTTCGTCTTGACTTTGAAATAAAGCAATGGTGTTAGATAAAGAAATGAAGGAATGATTTGACTAAGGTAGACCTTTGACTGTATCCCCAGTTACTATCTCCTATAGAAATAGGTGATATCCTAAGCCCTGGACTTTGAAATTTTCATTCTTAGGTCTATAGTGAACCTAAATGCTTACTAAGACACACTTCTTGCTTAACTTTTGATTAACTTGCACATGAAAGGACATGAATTTATATTGAAGAGTGATGTCATAGCTGTAACAAAAGGGATTTAAAAAAAAAAAAAAACTTAGGCATTTATGCCAGTCTTTTTTTTTTTGAAACGTAGTCTCACTTGTCGCCCAGGCTGGAGTGCAGTGGTGCGATCTTGGCTCACTGTAACCTCCACCTCCTGGGTTCAAACGATTCTCCTACCTCAGCCTCCTGAGCAGCTGGGACTACAGGTGTGTGCCACCACATCTGGCTATTTTTTTATTTTTAGTAGAGATGGCGTTTCACCATGTTGGCCAGGCTAATCTCGAACTCCTGATATGCCAGCCTCAGCCTCCCAAAGTGCTGGGATTACAGGCATGAGCCACCACGCCCAGCCTATGCTAGTCTTTAGCTCAGAATATTAGCAGAATAAAAGTGGACTCTACTACCTTACTTAATAGCTGTTACTCAGTCTCTTTCAGCCTTAGGATTCACCTGTGTAAAAGAGAGATGATAAAACTTTATTTATTTGTTGTGAAAACTAAATTAAAAAGCATATTAAATGTGGTAGTATTTGTAAAATGCCTAGGAGGTCATCTAGCATGTAGTTATTGTTTGTTCCTAAGCCCTCAACTGTTCCTTCATTTTTTCTTCCTTGGAAGACAAAGAGCATATTCTTCGCCTCAATGTAATCCATTTCCTGAAGAAAGATGATGCATTTGCTCTGTGAAGATGAGTGATAGGTAATAAAGGATGGTGATGGATAATGGCAAATACCAGAGAGATTATGATCTGGGCAAAATATCATAGCTTAGTAAGCAAGGTTGCTTTCTGCATTCACATTTATTACACACATGATAAGATATAGCAGTTTCATTTGCATAGTAGATGGAGAACAGAATTTATTTAGAAAGCTTTTGATAAACCTCTTAGGTGAAGTAAGTGCTTGCAGGTATAGTGTTGGCCTCACCAGGGGTTCAGTAATTGTTGTGTGTGTATGTGTGTGTCTGTGTGTGTGTGTGTGTGTGTGTGCGCCATTCAGATGAGATTGTTCGTACACATGGGAGCAGAGGACAGAGTTAAGAGATGAGAGGGCTGAGAATGGGTAAAAAGAAGAGGCCACAGGACTCAGAAGAAAGCTATTGATATGGTTTGGATGTTTTTTCCTCTCCAAGTCTCATGTTAAATGTAATCTCCAATGTCGGAGGTGGGGCTTGGGGTGTGTGGATCATAGGGGTGGATCTCTCATAAATAGCTTGGTGCCCTCCTCACAATAATGAGTGAGTTCTCACTGAGTTCCCATGAGATTCGGTTATTTAAAAGAGCCTGGCACCTCCTCCCTTTCTCTCTTGCTCCCTCTCCTCCCACACGGCACACTGGCTCCCCTTTGCCTTCTGCCATGACTGGAAGTTTCCTGGGCCTCTCACCAGAATCAGATCCTGGTACTAGACTTCGTGTACACCCTGCGGAACTGTGAGCCAAATACACGTATTTTCTTTATAACACCCTACCTCAGGTATACCTTTATAGCAATGCAAATGGACTAACACAGCTGTTCCATGGATGATCTTAATTTCCTATGATCACTGAAGTTACTAGACTGACAGAATGTTTGTTGTAAGTTTTTGTGGATACCAGCAAAGTTACAGTTTCATGTCTAGATGCATGCCAGGCTAACAGATGGCACAGATCTAAGAAAGGAAGCAATGGGGGACCCCACAAGCAAACTCTCAGACATTTACAGACCTCATAGAGAGGATCTGGAGCATCAAACTCAAACTGATGGTTTGAGTGACACTCATGTATATCTCTGAGGGTGAAGGTCTCTGGTTACATTTGCTTTACATATATGACCACATGGCATCATTATGTAGTTTATGTTCTTCCGTGTATGTCAGTTATCAGTGTAACATCCTCACTAGAATAATCTTGAAATCGAAATGTTTAGTATTTAAATTTTTCATAGTAAATAACTTTCTCATACATTAAATAAAGCAAAATCATTTAATAAAGTTCTAACTCTGAGTTATGTTATAGGTCAAATTGTATTTACCTATTGTGACAGCAGTGGAGATTCCACCCTGGTCGCTTGTTACCCACATTTGAACCGTATTTATTCTTTGATGTAATCATAAAAAGTCAGTTCTATATACTGACGTATCTTGACTCACAAAAGGTTTTTCAAGATTCACATATATACCTGTAAAAACAAAGATATTCAAATGACTAACAAACCTGTTAAATGCCAAAAATAAATAAGGGGGTAGAATGAGAAAACACTGTGGCAGGAGGTGACTTTCGGAAAAAGCAATGAAACGGTTGACTTTTGATGTTGTGGCTGA